ACATCCTGATCATGGAGTAGCTGTCTCCCTTATGCAGAACGCCCCAGCAAGGGCAGAGAAGTAAATTATAGCCAGGGCCAATAATATATATGCTGGGTTCTAAGCCAATGCAAATGTACTGAAAGTTCATCAGATGAGTTTTCACTGATTATTCCTACAGGACCAATCCAGCTATTGAGAAGTCAGTTTCCATTATTCTTCTCCATGAAACAGAACTTGCCAGGGGCCTGCAATACAATTTAGAGTATAGTCAGATGGGATTCGCACTTCATCCAACCCAGCAAAGTCACTTCTTGGCTATTATTTTTCACTCTATTGTAAATAGCAAGAGGCAGATGAAAAGGTAAAAAATATGTTGGTTGGAAGATACTTATTCTCGCCTACCTAGGGTAATCAAGGAGAGACATCAGCTCCAGATTTGGTAAGTAATAACTCACATTTGACTTTAATATACCATGATAAACTTTGAGGAATATATCTTTTAAAACATAAAATGCTTTACCTCTGATTTAAAGTTTGGGGGATTGGTCTTGTGCTGTAGGCAGGTTAGATTTAGCATCTCTGAAAATTCCAGAGCAATTTTAAACTACTCTTTTTGATCACTTGCTGCAGCTCCAGCTTTCAAAGAGAATGAGATGTTTTGGGAATGAATTGTGATGGACTTATATGAAAATTTATATGACCAAGAATTGGATTTGTTCCCCCGGAATATTATAGATTATGTTTTATGTTGGAATTACATCAGTGTGCAGAGCAGCAGAAGGCTGGCTTAATGTAGCTAAAAATATACCTTGACTTTCCACTTGGAGTACAATTCTCCCCTCTCCAACCCGTTTCTTCCCTAATGAAAATAATGGCTTCATGACTCATATGTGTGATAGACAGTAGGGAATATATGAGTCTTAAACTAAGAAGAGTTTGAGAAAGGACTAATGGTCCTTTTCTAATTTCTCTGCCATCCATCTCTTCCCTCCTGTTTCCCTGTCACCATCCTATTTCAAGCCATCACCACCTTATGCCTTCTTGCAGTTGTCCCTTCCTCAGTCTCCAGCTCTCTTTGCTTTAATTTGTCCTGCACACTGCTAAGCGGTCAATCTTCCTTCTCCACCACTAATCCTGAGATCCCCTGCCATTCTTCAGTGGCTTTGCATCTGTTCCCCAATAAGTTGAGAACTCACTTCATCACCAACATCTTAGTTCACCCCTCTCCTAGGTCTTACTCGGAGTTGGGCAATAGCCTCCTAACTGCTCATCTAACTGGTCTCACTTTCGCTCTGATTTAACCTAATGTTTCCCATGATATTATACAAGTGCCGTTGATTGCATACAAGAAGATTCTTGGTGCTATACAGACACTTTTATTCACAAAATTATTTCTAATTCATGGCTAATACATTGTTCTAAACATGTAACGAATAGATCAAAACTATGAATACATGAATATTATTACTTAGTATGAGAGTCATCAAAAAAGTGAGCTAAGAGATAACTTTATGGGGTGTGCAGATCTTTTGCAACTTTTAGGACCTCATCTCCACTTCACCTCCCAGAACAGTTTCACAAATTCACTTCATGAGCCAGGTGGTTTACTGCCCTGCCCACATGAGCAATTACATGATGGTAACAGTGGCAGAGTGGCGACACTTGCACCAGCCTGGCTTCGTGTCTTCCTCCCCGACTGCAGGGACCTGCACCTGCTGTTGCAAAGCTGTACAGCAGCTATTTGAAACGTTAATGCAGCTTTCTTTAGAGCCTCAATTACAAATGATGAGTAGCTTAGCTACTGAGAAAATCTTGTTTAATATTCTCATTTTATTTTATTTTTTAATTTTACGGGAACTGATATTAAATAAGGAATCATAGGCTGAAAGTGCTGAAAGAGGAAACAAAGAGGATGTTGGGGAGTGCTGAACTTAATGAAAGCACTGTATCCACAAAATAAGTTGTGGCTTTGTAAATTCACTCTAAGTACATTTGAGGAACAATATACCATAAAAGAGGTTACTGTGACCTTGGATTCTGTATAGCTTTTGAGATAAAAGGTCTAAGTATCAGAATGCATTTGGTTGACCATAGTGTTGTTGACTGATTAAAAACTATTCATGCTCCTAGAACCCTCTGGTTGAATGCTGATGAGGGGCTGGCCTGGGTGCAGTGTGCAGGATAGACTCTCTTGAGGCAGAGATCAAAGTTGCTTTGCTAAAACGGAACACTAAAAGGTAAGTCTTTGTACCCATGAGGCAAAGCTACTGACATAAGGATTAAATTGCAATACATTGACTTTGCATTTATTACTTATTGGGTACAAATCTTAAAAGCATTTTGAAGATGTTCCAAATTCTAATCATTGCACAGTATAACAACTTTTAAAACATTTACTATCAGCGAATGTTTTTCTCTGAATGTAGTCATTATATTTTTTGATGGCTTTAAAAGTGAATACTTGAACTTTATCATGGTTTAATCATTTTTCACACACAACTTTTAGGCTTAGTGATTAAAAGCATGGGCTTTAGAATGAACAGATCTGGATTCAAACCTTGTGACAATTGCTTATTTGCTGTGTGATCTTGGGTGAGTTACTTAATCTCTTTAAGTCTCTGTTTCCCCAAGAAAAATGGAAATAATAACAGAACCTATTTCATACAGCTGTTTAGACAATGTGATAATGTATATAAAGCACTTAATCAAATATTTCCTATGTGATTTTTTTCTCATCTGTAAAAATAAATAAGTATAGGAATAAGAATAATGTAGGGAAGAGAACACATTAGCTTCTCTGGTCCAACCCTAACTAGATACTAAGAGTCTGTTGTGAAGTTTGGGTGTTAATATCCACATGGTATTGGAATCCACAATCAAGAAATGCCTCCATCCCGCCCTCCCACTTACCCTTTTTTTCCCATGGAGTTCTGACATCTGGAGCTATATGGAGAAGAAAATAGCTAGATAGGGGAAAACACTCCCTTATAGCTGTGCATGCACCTCTCCAGATGGATCTTTCTGGCCAAGGATTGAATCAGAAAATGTGGTTTAGACTTTAAGGCTTAAGTGAAGCCTTCTACCTCCTATCCCTTGAACCAAGATAGCCCTTGTTGAAGTCTTCTTCCACTGTCCATCGAGATGTGAAGCACAGAGAAGGAGACTTGGCCAGCTTAGTCCGAAGCAACTGTGCAAGCCTAGGGTAGGAAGGGAAATGCTATGGAGCTGGTCTTTAAGCCAGACTTCCTCGACCTGTCTTAAATTACACCACATTGTAAAATGTGGCTCAGTGAATGTTTTGGTCTCTGACCAAAGCGATAAACAACTCCTTCTCTCCTGGAGGCTGGAAGAGAGTTGAAGGATCATCACTTCCATGGACCCGTTTCCAAAACGTACAGTCTTTTTGAACTATGGTTGCCAGGTTTAACAAATAGACACATAGGACACCCAGTTACATTTGAATCTCAAATAAATGAGAAATCAGTTTTGTAGTGTAAGTAGGTCACATGCAACATTTGGAACATACTTACAGTAAAATACTATTTGTTGTTTTTCTGAAATTCAAAGTTACCCGGGCATCCTGTATTTTATCTGGCAACTCTGTTTTCAACTGTTTAAGGTAAATTTGGTGATGATAATTAAAATGGATAGAAAGCCTTTGGAGAAGGGTTTTGCAACCTTCACGCTTTTGGTATTTGGATATTTCTTTATTGTGAGGGCTGTCCTGTGCATTGTAGGATGTTTAGTAGCTTTCCTGGCTTCTACCCACTAGATGCTAATAGCAACCACCTCCCCTCTGTTATGACAACCAGTTATGTCTCCAGACTTTGCCAATATGGAGGGCAGAATCACCCCCAGTTTTGATATCCACTGCTTTAGACATAGTGGCCAAAGCAGAACGGTGAAGTGCATCAGGTTGGTAGACCAGAAGGTACACTTTTATCCAAGTGATGATGAAGGTCTTGCCCATCTCCATTCCTCACTCTCTCCCCCTGTGCTGGGCTCCTTCTCTGTAATGCTAGGGGCTGTTGAGACCTGTATCTGAGGAGCCCTATAATACAATGTTAGCCCTGTGTTGATTATAATCACTAGAAGATCATTCAACTTTCTTTTCTCTTTGCTTTTCCACCTGAAGCTATATGTGCCAACTGTTTGGGCTTTTACTCAAATCTCTTCTTCAGAGAACACACAACAAACTATTAAACCAAGTATTTATGTTTTATCAGAGGGCATCAATTTGTGCAGCCTGGGGGAACTCAGCATTTGCTGGGCAAAACTCTTATAGTCAAACTACCTGACTTAACTGTATGTATTACTCTTTCCCCCCATTTTGGAGAGGAAGAAACTTAGAGGCATTGGGTAAGAAATTCTATTCATTGGACATTTCCCACCTACACATTTATCCAGGAAAAAAAAATACTACTATGCTCTCACACAATGTTTCCTATTTGTAAAGTTCCCAGCCTGAATATGTTTTCTTGCTCCCTTGGAAATAACAGAAGTGACTTTCACTCTATTAACTTTGATTGTCCAGCATTGATAATTAATTTCGTAGGCCTATCAGCTTATGTAGTGGGAAAATTTCATTAGCAAGTTAAATGTAACTTCGTTTCTTCATTGCTTTCCATATTTTGTGGGCTTTTAGGGAAGCAATAGTTTTATAAAAATCCACTGGGCAAAGCAAAGACTATGTAGCTATATGAGTATATTGCTGTAGGAAAAAAAAAATCTTTGTTCTCCATTCTCTTTAAAGATTGTATGTTCTCAAATCTCTTTTATTCTAGTGCATTTCCTTAAATCAGAATACTCTGTTCCCTAAGAAGCACCACCTTAAAGAACAACATTATCTTTATTTGTAATCACAGGGCTTCATCATTGCAGAAAATCTGAGCCTTCACAGATTCTGATATTAGTACTTAATCAATAACCACATCCCTCTTTGAGCTGTCTTACCTCTACAATTGTATTTTCTCAGCTGCATATGTTTTTTTTGTATAAGAATTCAATTGAAAGAGCCATTCACGTTTGCAAAAAGGATGATGTTTTATTATTGGTTATAAAGAAAGGAAATTTCACACTTTGTATAACCAATCCTTTCTGTTATAGCACAGTGAATTCTGAAAGTGAGGAATGAAGTTAACAAACCGTGGAAACCAAGGCCACAGAAAGATCTTGTAGTATTCTGACCACATTATAAAATGAGACTTGGTGATTTTTATGTCTCTAACTGACAAGCATTCAATTCTCATTTGAAATGCATAGTCTTTTCATAATTTGAGGGTATGTAGATTAGAAAGAATAAAGGGGCTGATGGTCAAAATATTTAACAACTGTTTAGCATGGCCTGATCAACACCACCGGGTATCATATTATTGGGATAGGGGTCCAGAGACCCCCTGCAGGTCCAGGTGCTCTTCCTTCAGTCTCTAGACTATGGGTAGAGGGGTGGGTGCTCTGAGAGGGGCCAGGGTGGCTGGGGGGTAGAGAAAGCACTGAGGAGATTCAAGGCAACAAACGTTTATGAGCCAGTCTGGTAGTATTTTAGTATTTTAATCACTGTAACAGCTGTACCACTGTGTACCAGCTGGACTAAGTAGTGAAGGACTATGGAGTAGTGAGGTGGAGTCAGAAAATCAGATGCCAAGTTAGAGTTCCTGACACTGCCATTAACTCACTGTGTGGTCTTAAATAAGTCAGATTTGGGGGCCTCTGTTTTCTCTTATGAAATATGAGAATGTTGGATAAGAATAGTCCTAGGTTCCCTTCCTGTTCTACGAGTCTACTTTTTTCCCCCTACTGATGTGCAAATTCTATGCATCTAATATAGAGCTGTCTCTTGGAGCTTCTGCAAAGCAGAGAGATTGAAGTGTTTGAGAAGGGGAGTGGGGCACTCGCTTGCTCTGTGGTTTGTAAATAACAAGATAGCCAAAGATCAGCAAAGCTGGCATTCACCAGGAGCGCACTGCACTGTCAGGAGCATGGCAGGAGTGGGTAGATACCTTGTTAGTGGCAGCTTAAAAATATTTTTTTAAGATTCATAGTTTTCAACGTTGGGGAAATTCACTGCAGATTAGAAAAATGTGCTAGTTTACTACAGAAATAAAACAAATGTTGCTTTTTCCTGAAATTACCTGAGTCAGATAAACACAGGTATTTGGGGCATTTTTGTTGTTGTTTCCCTAGATCATAAAAAAATTCCCTCAGCTCTCTATTTTGCTTTTCTCTTCTTTGGTGATTGATACATTATGCTTTTTTACATTCAATGAATATATTAAGATATCTCCATTTGAATATACAAGGGTACTTCAAAATGTTCATGGAAAGATTCACATTATCTTTTAATTCTATTTTCCATGGGCATTTTGAAGTATCCTTGGATAAGCACATATTAAGGAGCCAATGTATTTGTGTAGTGACTGTAGAATCATGCCTACAGAAAGTAAATAAGATCCCTAAGTAACGTCAACCTGAATGTGTTTTCCCCTTAAATTGTTTGTTTTAATTTGAGTTGAAAATTGCTTTCCAGCTTATATCACATATGTAGTGTTTTAAAAAAATTCTAAGTGTAAAGAAGAGTTCAACATAATTATTAGTTATTAGAAAAAGAAAAAATCTATGGTTTCTGAAGTACATGCTGTATTAGGAAACTTGGTGCTGAATAAGGACCTGCGTGTGTATTTCTTTTGGGTGCCTATGCATGTGATAGTTTAGTAAAATGAACTGATTTTTGTCTTAATATCCTGTTGCTTATCGTACCTGACAAACAGAAATGAGGATAATGAAGAATTGATTATCCAAGGTCGTTTTCTTGAAACTTGCACAGAATTCCCATTTATGCTTATAAGAATAAAGAACATTTCTGTAACAAATTAAGAATATGCATAACCTGTTATGACATAGTCATAGACATATAATAAGATGCTCTAGAATTATAGCACTCTCTTGAAGTACACCATATTCAAAATTCACTGGAGATGTTTTAGAGACATCTGTTGTAATTATAGGAACATGGTTTCTAATTCATTTAATTCCCTTTCCTAGCTAAACTGTACATATAAGTGAATTTTAAGGGACTGTATAAATAAATTTTTAATTACAAAATGAGGTTATATAATACATTATTAATAATAACCAACAATGCATCATGTTTATGCATGAGTCCATTAGGAAGACAAGCTAATGTATGTCAATTCTGAAAGAATGCACTAATTTGTCCTGAATTTGTGAATGAGGTGGAATCCATGATGCAAGCTGATGAGTGCAATAACAGAGTGGTTTAGCATGCTATTTTTTAGTCAAGAAACATCTTGTACCTGTGGCATTTAAGAGGTATTTAAGATTTGTTCATCACATGTGATCAAGAATCTTATTTTTCAGCGAGCCATGCGTTTGTGGAATTTGGAATAAGACCATTGAGTTGACAATACTAGCTTTCCCAGACAGGTGCAGAATAAAAATGGCCTATAGCATCCAAGAAATGTGTATAGTCCTTGCATTTCAGCACATGGAAATCACAGTGTTGTTGTAATGGAATTTCCCAGTGTGGCCAAAACGACTGCCGGAGCGTGGTTACCTCGTTGTGCTAGCGGTAACAGATTTCTGAGATCTCCATGGCCAGCTCCAGACACTCGCTGGTCTCGTGGCAAGATTCAAAAAGGCTGCAGTCCATGTCACAGTTGCAGTTGCAGTCATTCCGAGAGTGGTCCTCATCCGAGGTGTGGTGATACCTGTGAGAGGGGCAGCAGAAGTTGGTACACACTGTTTCGCAAATATCGGGGAGCATCAGCAGACAGTCCCAAAACTGGCAAAACAGACAGGCGAGGATGAGGGAGGCACAATCCTCTGTTTAAAGAAGAAGAAAGAAAATTAATGGTGGCACATATGGGGGCATCCATGAAGGGCAGACGTGTGTGGTGGTTTCCTTGATGACTTGATTGCCCTCTCTTGTTTATCCACAGTAGGGGTAATATGCACTGTTATTCTCTTGAGCTCCCCACCCCCATGCCAGTGCTAACTCTACTAAAGTAAATCCTTTATTAACTTCCTGAGCATTTCCTATTGATTATCCATAATCTGGTTATTTAAAGTGCTGTCACTTCCCTAAACTGCTTTATTTACTTTTTGCCCACAGAGGTGCTGGGAAGCCAATCAATTAGCTACCTATCTGGAAACCTTGCAGCTGTCTGAAAAATAGCAGGGCCTCCCCAAATGCAGACAGCTAAGGGAGCAATTAGAGTTGGGGACAAGGAGAAACTTTTATACAAATGTCCTGCTTCTCGTCACCAGGCTTTGTTACTTGTTAGCCATGGATTCCCATAAATGCACCACACCCATATTCAAATACAAGTGAAAAGCACATTCCAAAACTTAATATAAATGCTTTTTAAATAATCACAGCTTTTTGGGTTGGGTTTTATTTTTAATCCCTGTCTCTGTTTTCCTTCAGTTATGTAAAGCCTTGATTTTTATATTCAAGTTCTTTAAATGAAATACGTCATCAAATGCCTAAATGACTTTAAATCTTATCAATCCTCTTTAAGAAAATTGGTTTAAAAATTTACTATGCAGACTTGTAAAAATCTGGAAAGTATCTCTAAGGCATTGAAGGTAATTGGTAATTCTAGCCAAACAGCTGCGATGTGTTATAGATTATTATATTTTTTGTTTCCATAAAGGGAATTAGTTAGAAGATGTAGCAGTTCTCTTGTTAAAATTATACTTTTTTTAAAGTTGAAAGAGTCTCAAAAATATGTGTTTTGTAAAAGGGTATGTAATTGTTCATGTGATATATCATCGAAATAATTAAAATCAGTAATCTGAAGATTGATGATGGTTGAATTTGGAGAAAAATTTCCCCTCCCCTCTAGATGGGCTTATCAATTGATTAAAATTTGACTTTTGTAAGGATCTATTTTCCCCCCAGTAAGAATGTTAATAACTTTTTGGTTTTTGCACAGTCAGCGGAGACTGTATGCGCATATAGAAGAGATTTTGCTCATGTGCTATAGTCTAAGTGCTCTGATAGCCACGTTCATTCTAACAATATTCCAGAAACCTTTTTTCTTTTATTATTCATATACTTGTTCATCTTTTAGACAGGGAAAGCATGGGAATGTGCTGTGAAAAGGAACAAGAATTTTATAGAATGCCATTTTAATTTCTTATAAAAACTATATAAAGTTCTAAAGTGAGTCCTGATTACAGGCAAACAGAAATCTTCTTTCCTCTCTCTGATACTCTCTGTCTCTCTCTCTCTTATTTCCATTCTCTTTTCCTTTCTCCCTCCCTCTTACTCTCCCTTCCTTTCTTCCCAATAAGATGGTGGTAAAGAACCACACCAGGACTTTTATGACTAGTTTAATTACCGTATATTGTTGCAGGTGTTGTGACCATTACTCAGTATTTATAGACAGCATACTCCACAATACCTCTATGGTGCACATATTCATCTCTTTGCCAGACTTGGTGGATTTTTATTCACTTAGAGCCAGCTTCTAGCATGTGGCCAACTCACCCATATCTCATAAGTCACCACAAACTACCCACAAAAATTCAGGAGTCAGTTAGTAATAGTGCATAGACTCTATTTTGCCTGTGCTTTTCAGAAGAGGGCGTGTTGGTGGTCAAAGATGTGGGGCATGCAACCTCATCGAGTTTTACCAATGCCAAGACTGTTACTATAGCAGCCCCTGACAAAGAAGAGGTTCTTAGAAGAAAATATTCCAAGAAAATATTTCATGATTCTTCAGGCTGAAGCCTCAAGAGACTTACTGAGGTTTATGCCCATATAAAAATGATCCCTCTGGATCCTGTCGTTTACACGCGCAAGTCTGAAAGTTTGGTTTGGAGGTAAGTAGGGTAAGATGCAGGGTGACTTTAAGGATAGGAGCTGGTGTTTCTCATCAGTGTGAAAACCCTGTTTATAAAGTGGCCTTATAATTTCCTGAGGGCATATGACCTTTTGGCTCAGCTGCTCTTGTCAATGTCTCCTCAAGTTGGCAGACTCTGGAGGTCTTCACTTCTGATGTAAACCATAGAGTTTATTTACAAAAAATATTTTGGCCTAATCCTTTGGCCAAATTGGTATTTATTTCCTTCCATCTCCCTATTTTGCCCTTGAGAATAGAGCCCATTTTTTTTCTATTTCTAAGTCAGTTCTTTTTATTTGATTTTAAAAGGCAGAGCCTCTTGCCCAAAAAAAACATGGTAACATTAATGAATTGAAAACAGATTTTTCCGTACTTTCAAGTGTGTTCCACACTTTTCCTAAAAGGCATATTAAATCATTCTACATGAGCAGGCAAAACTGTTTTGCATATGGCCAATTTCTGTTTGCACTAAAGTAACATAAGCAGTTCAGGGGAAAATTTGCAACTGTTTGAAAAGTGTCGGACTTCCCTTCTCCTGAATGAGTATATTTTCCCTTGCCTGCACTATTTCCTGGGGCTTTAATGTTTAATAAACATGATATTCAAGTCATATTCCACGATCAGCACCCCTTCTCCAGCCCATCCAAAAGAGTCGGCCATGTATCTGATTGCCTACTTCACGTCCTTTCTGCAGTGTCTTTGAAACATCTCACTTACCAAGGCCCAATTGCATTTTGTATCTCCCTCCTTCCCCATCCCATAAGCTTGCCCCTCCTCCAGTATTCTCTCACAAATGTCTCCTGAACAGCCAGATGAATTTGGGGGTCATCTTTTGTCATTTTCTATTTCCTTATCATGCACTCCCCATCCCACTCATCACTGAGTCCTGCTGATTCAACCTCAGATTTGTATTTGAAACCCACAGGCCTCTGACCACCTCCAGTGTCACCATCAGCCATCATCAGGTCAACAGTAATAGCTTCCTGTCTAGGACACTCTGCTTCCATGTCAGTCCATTTCAAATTCATCATCTCCTTGGATATTTATAATCCTAAACTAGAACAACTCATTCTCCCCTTAGAGTAAACTCCCAATTCCTTGCCATAGCCTACAAGCCCCTGCATGATTGGGCTTCTGCCTATTTCTCTGATGTCTCAGGCTACTTTAATCCTTATTCACTCTACTCCCACCACATTGGATAAATTTCAATATTTGGAATGCACCTAGCTCAGGGCCTTTGCACATGCTGTGCCTTCTGCCTATGTGGCACCCCCCTCCCTCAATGTTACCCAACTCCTATTCAAACCTTTAGGTCTTTAGCTTAAAACACCTTCCCTCTAAATCATATCCTTGTTGAAACTCATAGAACCCTGCTTTTTCTTTATAGCACTGACAGGTCATGATGGCATTAAACTAACTAGGTAGTTGTTAGTTTCTCCTCCTACTCAAATCTAAGTTGCAAGAGACAAGAAAGCCATATCTCTTGTTAAATGAATAAATCAATGAATGATTCTAAGAGGTAAATACCATAATCCCATTTTTTAGATAAAAGAACTATGGTTCAGAGATTGTCACTGACTGTCTTAATTCCTCCTAAATCTAAGTCTCTCTAGATGCAAAGCCCATGCTCCCTATGCTCCTGTTATATGTGCCAACTGTTTCACCTAAAGCCAATCTGCAGTCCTCTGCACTTCATGTGCATCTCGCACAGGCCTCGCCATAACCCTGAGTCGAGTCTGTTATCATCCTTGTTTATAGATGAGGAAACCACAGCTCCGAGACATTATGAGGCATGCCCCAGGAAACACAGGAAGAGGTGTGGCTGTGATTTGCACCCAGACTGACTTCTCCAGAGCTTTTAACTGCAAAGCTGGCCGCCCGCCCTAACACTCTCGCACTTTGTTTCTGTCACCATTGAGCACGGTGCGGGACATCGCCAGCTTACTGATGGCCTGCTTTCTCCTCAATTCCCTCCTCCTACCCTGCTCTGCTCTGCATTCCCGAGACCAGCAAAGTACATTGTCTTTGTCTAAGTTTCCCTTAGTGGCTTCTGGCTAGATTCAGCCAACAGGAGGCTGCAGTGGGAACCAGGAGGATGGGAGGAAGGGAAAACCCTGGGTGTTTCTCCTCCCTTCTCTCTGCTTGGGTGGTGTCTGAGACAGTGGCTGTATGATCTTGATTTTCTCTCTCTCTGAACAGCCCATCCCTCTGTGGCTCCAGCTAATGCCAGGTACTAGCAGTCCATCTAATGATGGCTAGTTACTAGTGGTCTACAAGCTAATGCAGTGCTAGAAGTCTGCCAGGGCCCTGGGGCCGGGGGGGACAAAGGAAGAGGCGGTAGAGCCTTGCTGTCATTGTCAATGTCCGAGTTCCCTCACTGTTCACCGTGTTTGGCTTTTCAACTCTTTTAATACCTTTGTAACAAGTCCCTCGTATATTAAATATCCTCTGTTGAACCACCTGGCATCCTGGCACAGGCTCTGATCTCTGCTATCAGAGTGTGCGTCTGGCTCTTCCACTTCTTAAACCTGGATTAAAGAAGGTTTAAGGTGGATCAGAGACCTGAAGTCCATACAGCCAAAAGTGCTGTTTGGCTGTGAGCAAGAAGCCATGATGAAAACCCTTAGGGTTGTTTCATTTCCTTTTTACCCCGCTAGGGTACCTTTGGGACATGGAGGCTGTAATGTGCTCAGTGATACCCTAATGACACTAAAGAATGAGGCAGCTTCCAGAGGTGCTAAATGTACAACTGGGGATTGGCTAATTAAGAGGGAGAATCTGTCTCATTAGAAAGGATCGTGTTTCATTGTAGTGGAAAATGTAACAATGCAAGAAGCTCCACAAAACTACCTGAGGTCGGCCTCTTGGTCATGGACCTGTACTACCCTACCTCGCCCTCCCAGCTTTTGGCCTTGCCACCTTGATGCCCATGATTGGGGAAGGGGAGGGACAACTGTAGTTGCTGAAGCATTCCTCAACTTCAGGAACACACCTTCTGCTACCAAAGTAGCAAGAATCCTTCTAGAAGTGACCCCAGAAAAGTAAACACTCTTCTTCCTCTCCCAAAACACAGTAAGGGAAAAAAGAGGAAAAATGAACCTGGCCCCAACCCAGTATTCTAACAGTTAATGTGCTATCACAGAGAATTCAGCATCGTAAGGAGATTCATGATATAATAGCTCCGACTGATTACTACAAGTTTTTGGTCCAGAAGTACAAAAATTGATTCCCACTCCCCCAACATTAAGTTTGTGTAAAAAAAAAAAAAAAGTCTGTACCATAGAATGGGAACAAATAAAGTGTGACTGAATGCCTTTCTCTAGCTGGGGTATCATCCCTGATGTTATCAATTTTAATAGCTACTTAAATATGTCAAGATCTATTTAAGTTCAGACAAGCACAACTAACATTCAAGTCAATTCTTTAGAACTAGCATGACTAGATTTGGGTGATACTTAGTAAATTTGTGCTTATGTTTTTTTTCTGAGCAAATGAACTGAAATAATTATAAAATTGAAACATTTTATAAGGTGACACTACTGCATTTAATTGTATGAAATTTACAGTGTAGAAAATGTAATCATTTTATTCAGTAGTCCATGGTGTAATTAAGACTATTCTTTTGAGGTATCTTGTATTTATGATTTTCCTCTTCCACCTGAATGAGACGTCTCAAATTCAAAATTATACATCAATTAGGTATATTCTCAGGATTATTTTTGAAGGGGCCTGTTTTCTAATATCATGTGTATTCCTGATTTTCTTATCTACAGAGATGATTTTGAAATCTGAAGAATGTGGAAACAGAAGCAGGGACACAGTTCTCTGGACTTTTTTCATTTTATTCAGGAAAGGGACCACACACAATGAACCACAATTTAATAATAAAGTAATGTTGCAGCACATAGTGTGTGATGTGCAGTAGAGATCCTTTTAAATCCCCATCAGAGCACACACCATGAACTGTGTTAATGGATGTAACACATTTTACAAAATCTGCATGTGCGAAGCTTTTCCATCCTGTTTTAAGTGGGGCAATGTATATAAATAATAGATATTAGCAATTAAGCATCCATTCCTATGCACTCATTTATACATTTGAAAATAAATTAACCACAAACTACATGAAAGTGGATGCAATCTTCTCTTTCCCCTTCTGTTTTCCCTGCTGTTCCTGAAAGATATTTCTGTATTTATCTCAGTACGAACAATGACCCCAGCTCTCAATTTCTGCATCCTTAAATTAATTACTATCAAAAATTCTCTAAAATGAAGTGAGTCTGACTTAACTCTTGATTTCCTTGGTGTTTGCTGTTCAGGACAATGAGAGTTTCTTGTCACTATTTATGGGCCTTACACTGGGTTTTTTACTTTCTCTTTTATCCAGGTACCAAAAGCTCTTACCTCATTGGGGAGATTTTTCACAAGGTGGGCAAGAGAGGGTGGATGGACTATTACCTATGCCATCAGCTTAAAACCTGTATTTCCTGAGTTGTAGTGGCCTCAACCCAGTCCTTCAGAAGACAACCTAATTTAATTATCCTAATGAATCTGCTTTGCTCTTCTGAACAAAGAGTAATCTGTTATTTTTCCGCATGAAGCTCTTGATTATCAGTTGCCATTTTTATTTATCTTTTTATTTTTTTACTATTTTTATCTTAAAGTTTTATTTATTATTAGCATATTCATTCTTACAAATCATGATATTTCTTTATGCCCTTTACCCAAGCAGTGTAGTCATTTGGGCCTTTCCCTGAGAATACAAGGCTCAGGTATTATGCGAGTTGGCGTCACCCTTCTCATTCTCCCAGGATCCCTGCTAGCACAGATCCAAATGGTTCTGGAGAAACACCGTGTTTTACTGTCTGAAAATGTGCAATGGAAATTCCTAATTCTGGGATGGCCAGCCTGAAACACATAATGAGCAATATCTGGGCATCCCTGGTACAATCTGATAAAATTCTCTAGCATTAAAATGCTTTTACAGCCAACTCTACTGCATTACTTGTTTTCCTGCCTGGCACTGACCTCTTCCAAAGCGAGAAACTTGAGCATCATCCTGGATTCGAGGCCCTAACCTGGTAGTCTACAGGTGAACGCTGGCCCAAAAATGTGTTGTTGGGCTGTCTTGGGCTTCATGAAATAAATAGAACTAGTTATCAACACTGGAAAATTTTTAAAATTCACATAACATTCCTGGTTTCTGGATTTTCCTGGAAAACTTCAAGATCTGGCAACTCTATATTTCCTTCCAGCAGCAACCAGCTGGAGCTGAGTAGAAGCAGTGACCTTTAGGTGAGACCTGTGCTCGCGAGCTGCCACAGTCCTCATCAATCCCTATTGCTAACTTCCAGCTTACTTCATTGTTCACATTCTGTCCTGGCAACCATAGGCAGTCAAGTCTGTAGTTTCTGGTCTAAAGCATTCATGACACCATTTGCACAAGATAACAGATATGAGGGTACTTCAAAAAGTTCATAGAAAGATTCGTATTATCTTTCAATTCTATTTTTCCATGAACTTTTTGAAGTGCCTTTGTATATAACACGTGTTAGAAATATTCCCTCTCCTTACTTTCTAAAACTGTAATTGGAATAAAAGATAAAATTGATTACGTACTATGTGCCAGTTTCTGTACTGGGTGCTTTTCACATGTTATTTTATTTGATCCTCAAAATACCCCACGGTGTGTTACAGGCCCCATTATATAATTGAGAGACTGAGATCCAGAGATGATAAAAAAAAAAAAATCCTGTTCAGTTTTATAAAGTCAATAAACTTCAGAGGTGATATAATTCCAAAGGTGCTTTTATACAAAGTTTATTTAAAAATTTGTTTTTATTTTCAAAAAATAAATACGAATTTAAATGTCAGCCAGAAATGATATCCTGTTACTTTTTTTTTGAGAAACACCAGGCTTTCTTTAAATGCAAATGTAGATACTGAACACTACAAAATTCTCGAATGGTTTATGTCTCTTGTAAAGTTCACTGCAAAGTTAACCTGAGTAAAATTCCATGTGTCTTGGTGTGGAGTCCATGATTTTGAACTTGATCGTGCTGATCATTTAGCATCAAATTAACTTGAAATTGGCTTTGCAAATGGAACATGCCCTTTATGTTATATACAGAGATGGCTTGGTCTAGATCGCACTGATCAGAATGCCTAAGAAGTGATATTACCTAGAGGAACCAACCCATTTTCATAGATTGCTGATGTAAGCATCTTGATATTTTACAGTCTATATTTATATATTTCCAGCATCTTAATATTATTTCACTCTGCCTTCCTCTCCTCCTCTCTGCCTAGAGTCACAGGCTGAATAGTCCCAGATCTGAGAAGAGAAGAAAGTTTGCCATTTTTCTTTATCCACTTCATAGCCCTGTAGCAAGAACGATTACACCCCAGCCCAGCTATTTAAAGCACATTGCCTCTGATTCCCAGCTTTGAGAGCAAACAATCTGCCAAGCACCTCATAACTGCAAAGTGACCTTGACATATGTCATTCACCAGGGTTTTCAAATCAAAGTCTTCCTGTTTAATATTCATAAAGACTTTTTTTTCTTTTCTAACAGCATATGTGATGATTTTACAGGGGCTGGGGGTTGGGGAGCTTTATTTAGAGACGGGTTGAATTTTGAGAAACATACCATCAGTGTCTCTCTGATGAACTGAAGTATCAGTTTGGAGGTAAGAAAATTTCGTTTGGCATTCTTCAAGGGAGGACAGTGATGTGCTGGATTCTGACAGTTTTTTCTCATTGGGGGTTTCCTTGGCTGGTCCATCTGTGATATTGAATTCGGATACTGAATTTATAACGATAGCATTAATGGGTTTCTCGTCTGCATGGTTTTCATTTGTGAGTTGCGTATCTAGACAAAAAAAGAAAACACATACAAAAACCCACTATAGTTTACATGACCTAGTGATCTAAGAACGGACATTTGCAGAAAATTTCACATTCCAGACTTTTAAAAAATAATGTCTTATTGAAAAGAATGAAGCATTATTAAGACAGATAATTTTGAATAAAAATATAAGAATAGAAGAGTACAATCATCATAACATTTTATACACATTATAAGTTTTGCCTATCATAGTAATTCGTGACAATTATTTCTACTATGGTGGGTTTATTTATTTATTTTTTTGGTGATGAGAGGAGAGAGTCAAGGAATTCATTTACTTGGATCAGCAAAATCTGGTAGTATGTTTTCAGCATGCTGTCATAGTGTATTGTGGACCTGAAAAGCAGCAAAAGGATCTTAAATGCTGGACAGTACTGCTGAGTAATTGACATGATCTTGATCAAGTCACTTTCATTCTTTGTTTCCACAGACCTCAATTTCCTCTTCTGTATAAGAGGGTGTATATAGATGAGTAGTCTATAAGCTCTTTCCTACTTCTGCCCTGAAGACTGTCAGTTGCTACCTCTTTCTCTGCCTTGGCATTTGTTAGGTCCCTATTCAGGTGACAGCCTATATGGCTTTCGGGGTGTGCTTCTCGGGAATGTGCTTTATTTCCACGTAACCACCTGGCACAATTGTTAGAGATATTCAGGGAACTTGTAGCAAAGTCCTTGACCGAGATTCTGGTTTAGAGAGGCATAGAGAAGGCTAAGAAGGCCCAAGTGCTTCATGTGTTTTGGAGCTCCTGTAGTCATTCACTCATTTCCACATAATAATTGGGGGTCTGTTAGGTAACAAGCACTGGGCTGGACATTGGATATATAGTCATGACTAAGACAGGCATGGTCCCTGGCCTTCCTGACCATCAAACAAGTTAGCAAAGAAATAACTGCTTAAGTTACAATATTAATTACATGAAAGAGGAGCATCCCATGAAATCATGTTAAAGAGAGGACCAGACTGCATAGCAGTGCAGTTCATTTATAACTTACACCCATTAGGCAGAGTCCTAAGATCAAGAAAAGCATTAACAAAAGAAGGTATTCTTAAACATGCAGCCAAGGCCATTTCCCAGGGATATCTTAAGACTTGAACAAACAACGGTCCCGGTGATTTTGCAGCACTGGTGGGAGGTGGCGAAGATGTGTTCTGTGGCATTGTGTTCCCATTGCTAGCCCAATGCCTAGTTGTTTCAAGAATGGTCATTGAGTGACTGCAGTCAACAATACAATTGGCAACCTGGTTTGATTATACCACGTCTGTGCAGCTCAGTGCAAGAAAAATGTTTTTGCTGAGTCCATCTTCATTGTCCTTTCCAAACTTGATTCTTTCCTGGGATAGATGGAAATCTTTATTGGTCCTACCTCCTAGGGTAGTAGTTCCCAGATTTTTCTGCTGACTAGAGTCCCCTGGGAAATCTTTTAGATATTTGGAATTTTTTAAGTCTCAGGCGCTCTCCTTCCCAGCAGACAATTAAATCACGGTCCCTGGGGGATTTCTGAATCTCCCAGGTGATTGCAACATGCAGGTAAATTTGAGAACCACTGCCCTAGGGCCCTTCCGCTTTTGAGAGTCAAGGAGAGAGAGAATAACCATGGACTGTGCATCAGTGGTTTTCAGAAATGAATCATTAAACAGTCGCTCTCTAACTGGCACTAGAGCTAGTAGTCTGGTACACACAATTGCGTTAGGCCATTCTTATATATTTCTGATTCTCCAAACAGCCTTCGTTTTCAGCAATATTTAATTTTTTACTTCATTTCCCTTATGCCGCTGGTTTTAAATCTCTTGGTTCTCTTGGTGGCATTTTGATCCACCCTGAAAGTATTGACAGAAAAAGGGGCTCAGGAAAAACATCTATTGTTGGCAGCAAGTAAAGTAGTATTGAATATTGAATATTGAAATAGAGTGGACTCAACAGACTGGGAAACTCTAGGCTTCCTCTAACCCAAGAAGGATTCACCAAGTTAATGATAGAATGATAATGATGATGATGAAAATAATAATTAGTTATTTTTCTTGCTTGGTTATCAAAGCACTCAGTGACCAGCTAATATCACAAAGAGATGCACCTTCAAATTATGCCTTAGAGCAGTATTGATATTTTGGACCAGATAATTCTTTGAAGTGGAGAGATTGTGGGATGTTTGGCAGTATCCCTGTTCTCTACTACTCGAGGCCAGTAGCACCTGTCCCCCTAGTTTGTGGCAATCAAAAATGTCTGTAGACATTGCCCACATTTCCCCTGTGGGACAAAATCACCCTAACTGAGAAACCACTGCTCTACACATGCACACGTGCACTCACACCCACACAAAGTTGCATGCATTTATGTCAAGATCTACGAGGATACTTCAAAAAGTTCGTGGAAAGATTTGTATTATCTTTTAATTCTATTTTTCCACGAACTTTTTGAAGCACTCTCATAAGTTACCATTTACATACCTTATTGAATGTAAGCATCACAAAGACTCTAGGAGGTGGATATTGTTAGCCTCCTTGAACAGATGGGAAATGTATGAATTGGCATCCCCAGTTAGATGAATGAAGGTAACTGAAGCTTAGAAAGTTTATTTAGGTAAGTTGCCCAAGGCCTCCTCATTAGTCAATCATAGAATTAGGATTTAGACTTAGACCTGGTAGATTCCGAAAGCTTTGCTCCTATCCTTCTCTCTTTCATATTATACATCATTTTCTCTGATTTATTCTTCACTTTTCTCTTGGCTTCTTAACTGCTGAGCCCGCACATTAGCAAAACCCTCTTCACCCTAAACCCTGTGCTGTGTCACCTACCCAATATCAAGCCTTGCAAATAACTTAGTTTCACAGTCCCGCCTTTCCCCGAGCAGTCTTTGAAACGCAAAAGTACCTTCTTGCACACTCAGGGAATCCTGCCTGTTCAGTTACAGCTGCTTTATCCTGTACATTAGAGAGCAGCTCAGAAAGAGCTGATAGATAACGAAACCTTGATGAGTATAGAGATTGAGGCAGCTATTTACTTAACAGAATTAATTAGCAATCAGTTCAAATTATCACACATAGTCAGACTGCATGTAATTTAAATTGCTTTTACACAAAGTAATCCAGTAACAAAAAAAAAAAGAGTTGGATAGAGGTTACTGAAATGTAAGAACATGCGGAGAATACGGTATACAGCCAAGTGGTATATGATTCTCTTTTTAATTTTGTGACAATTTTATGTATAGCATTTTGAATGTAAGTGGCTTGCTACATTAAGCAACCATTTGGAGCACACTAGGCTTGTACTGAGAAAATTTTATGGAGAAGTTAAACTGCCATTCATAAAGTTATTTTAATTCTATATCTCTGTTTGTATTTTTATTTTTTTCATTCTCCAGTGGGAACTATTTGTTGCTCATTAGAAAATCATCTGACTTACACACATTGCAGAACCCAGTCTGTTCAATCCAGAATTCTGACATCTGAAGTGAGTCATAATTTTTGGGTGAGTATTACTGACATCTTCCATCTTTTATAGATGGAATGCTAACAATAATTCCCCCAGATTCCTTCTTTTACTGTGTTATTTGACATTGTACCCAAAGTATTGTAAAGTAGCATAAGCTAAAAGGAGGAACACATAGAAAGTCATACCACATTTTCTGCAGAGAAAACTATTTTGGAATTAAATAAGAAACGCATGAAACTATATTTGGGATGTTATACATAGTTCCTGACATTAACTTGGAGAAAATAATTTTTTTCAATAGGAAAAAATAAACCAAAATTAGGACAAAAATTAGAAGCTCCTTTATATTTCTAAGCAAAAAAATTAAAGTGTATCTTGAAAGTTAGTGAAATAGAAAATTCATGTTTGGGCTAGAAGTAATTGCAAGAACCAATGAGCATAAACTTAAGTAACAGAAAAGATAGTTAATTAATTTTTTATTACCATTGAGCAAATGTTATTAATTTAATTCAATTAACATTTATTGAGTACCCACATGCAATAGATGAATCAATGTGACAGGGACTATTAATTTATTTACTTTAAGTTATTAAGGGAACATTTTAATGATTTTCATTTTTGCTCACTAAATGTGACTTTGGAATTTTTGCATCCCACGTATTCTCTATTTGAGTTTTTATAGATATCAGCATTCAAATGATGAATAAGTAGCATAGCTTCTTCCCTGGCTCCTCTGATTCTATCCCTGTTTTTTCCTCTCCTTTTCCTATTTCTTTCCCTTCCCTTCTCTTCTCTTCCCTCTCTTCCCTCCCCTTAAATTTCCTCCCCACCTTTCTCTCTCTCTTTCACCCCCCCCTCTCTCTGGTTGAATTCTCTGACTGCCTGGCCTGTCTCTGTTATCAGCTTCTTTTTTTCCACCAGCTCCTTCAATATATTTATTTTTTAAGACTTTGTCCTCTTATTTCCTTTCTTTCTACCCTACCCTTGAAAGTCATATTTGTGCACAATCAAAATTTCATTGTTTTGTATGAACTTGACCCCTAAATTTTTGTGTAGCCAGCCAGCCAGGCAACATTTATTGAGCATAAATGGCAAGCCCTGTCCTGTGCTGACCGCTGGGCAATTCAAAGAATAACAAATAGTCTTGGTCCTCCAGAGGCCCACAGTCATCACACATTACAGTCTTACACGTGTGACTGGCTAGGGGACATTTTATTTGGGTTACCAGCCAAATCCTTTGAACTATTATGCCTGCTTCTACTAAGCTCCTCATTCTTTTCCCCAAACTGGAGAACTCTGGCTATCCCTGGAGAATTCATGATTCAATTTCTCTTCATAGTATTGTCATTTTTCCAGTTCCCAAGGCTTAAAACTATGCTTTGACTTGCTCCATCCCTCCATCCAATGACGTACTAGTTCTTATTTATTTTCCCTTCTAAATATCTATCAAGTCCATGTCTGTTTTTTCATTTCCATCACTACCACTCAGGTACAATCTTCTGTGCCCTCACATCTGGACTCTTTCAGTAGTCAT